GACCCTGCTGTGTCAATGCAAACCAGTAAACAGCAGCAGCGCTGTCAAGGTACCTGTTTGGGGAAGAAGCAACCAGCCAGGAGCCGAACACCTTCCCTCATAGCAGCAGTGACTGGGCGGGAGTGGAGTCCCACCTCCAACAGCAGCCGATGCTCAGGAGCCAAGACCCACCCCTGACAACTGTAGTAGTGAATTTGGAGTGAAGCTCCTCCCCCAGCAGGAGCAAAGTTCCAGGGGCTGAGAATCCTCAGCCCCAAACATTAGCAGAGGATTGGGAGCTGAGGGCATCCCCTGGCAACAGCAGCAGCAGTAGCAGCACAAACCGGGAATTGACACTCACTCCCAGCAGCATGAGCAGCAACTGATCAGGAACTGAGCCCCACCAGGCAGCAGCACACCAGCTGGACCTATGCACCTCATCAGAGCATCAGCTGGACCCACGCACCCCATCAGTACAACAGAAGGACCCACATATGCCAACAGCACAGCAGCTGGACCCACATACCCCAGCAGTACAGGAACCAGACCCACGCCCCCAGCAGTGCCTACCACGACACACCAATACCAGCCACCAGTTGTCAATCCTCCAGGATCCACAGCAGGGAAGAGGTGCCATGCACCAAAACTGAGAGGTACAGCAGCCTTATTTGATACACAGCAACTTGACTACACAGTCCAACATCCCTTGCTGGGCCTAGAACTACCAGAGTGCTAAAATGGTGAGACAAAGAAACAACACCCAAATGAAAGAAAAGGAGGAATCACCAGAAAAGGAACTACATGAAATGGAAGAAAGCAATTCGTCAGATAAAGAATTCAAAGCAATGATTTTAAGGGTGCTCAAACAATTTAGTTCACTACAAGCAACTTAATGATAATTATAAAGAGCTCAGTGAGGATTACATCAGCATAAAAAAAGAGGTAGAAGCTATGAATAAAAATCGAGTGGAAATAAAGAATGACATAGCTGATATGAAAAATACCTTAGAAGGTCTCAACAGTACATTAGAAGAAGCTGAAGACTGAATCTGCGAGTTAGAAGACGAGGTAGGAAAAAACACCCCCCAAAATAGAGCAACAAATGGGAAAAAAATTAAAAAGCAGGAGGAGAGTTTAAGGGAGTTTTGGGACAATATAAAATGTAATAATATTCGCATCATAGGGGAACCAAAAGGAGAAGAACCAGAGAAAGGAACAGAAAACCTGTTTGAAGAAATAATGACAGAAAACTTCCCTAATTTGATGAATAGTCCTTAAATGGCGAACTAGATTAGTTGGATTTAATTGATATTTACATAACATTTCACCCAAAAGTTGCAGAATATACATTTTTCTCAAGTGCACACGGGACATTCTCGAAAATGTTAGGATACCACATGTTAGGATACAAACTAAGTATCTAAAAATTCAAGAAGACTGAAATCATATCAAGCATCTTCTCAGATCACATTGGCATGAAACTAGAAATCAATTACAATAAAAACACTCAAAAACATTCAAACGCAAGGAGGCTAAATAGCATGTTATTAAACAACAAATGGGTTACCAAGGAAAACAAGAAAGAAAAAACTTCCTGGAAACTAATGTAAATGAACACACAACAATACAAAGTCTATAGGACACAGCAAAAGCAGTCCAGAGAGAAAAGTTCATAGCAATACAGGCCTACCTCAAGAAACAAAAAAAATATCTAATAAACTATCTAACTCAACAACTTAAAGATTTAGAAAGAGAACAAAAAGGAAACCCCAGAGTTAGTAGAAGGAAGGAAATAATAAAAATCACAGCAGAAATAAATGAAATATAGACTAAAAAACAATACAAAACATTAATGAAACCAAGAGCTGATTCTTTGTAAAGATAAACAAGGTTGATCAACCGTTAGCCAGACTCACCAAGGAACAAAGAGAGAGAATCCAAATTAATAAAATCAGAAATGAAAGAGGTGAAGTAACAATGGACACCACAGAAATACAAAGAATTGTAAAAAAAAATACTATGAACAATAACATGCCAACAAACTTGACAACCTAGTCAAAATGGACATATTCTTCAAATCATATACTATTCCAAAACTCAACTGGGAAGAGTCAGAAAACCTAAATAGACCAATAACAATTAAGGAAATAGAAGAAGTAATCAATAAAATCCCAACAAACAAAAGCCCTGGTCCACACGGCTACACAGGGTAGTTTTACAGAACATTCAAAGAACTAGCACCTATTCTCCTCAAACTATTCCAAAAAATTCAAGAGGAAGGAAAATTTCCAAACTCTTTTTAATCCTAATCCCAAAACCAAATAAAGATACTACAAAGAAAGAAAATACAGACCAATATCCCTGATGAATATAGACACCAAAATCCTCAACAAATCTTAGCAAATTAAATCCTGCAATATATTTAAAAAATTATATACCACGAACAAGTGGGATTTATCCCAGGGATGCAAGGCTGGTACAATATTTGTAAATCGATAAATGTGATACACCACATAAACAAAATGAAAGATAAAAATCAAGTGATCATATCAATAGGTGCTGAAAAGGCATTTTACAAAATCCAGTGTCCATTATTGATAAAAACTCTCAACAAAGTGAGAATAAAAGGATCATATCTCAACAAAATCCAGCATCCATTTATGATAAAAATGCTCAGCAATGTGGGAATAGAGGGATCATATCTCAACATAATAAAGGCCATTTATGACAAATCTATAGCCAACATCATACTTGATGGGCAAAAACTAAAAGCATTTTCTTTAAGAACAGGAACAAGACAGGGATGCACACTTTCGCCACTCTTATTTAACATAGTACTGAAAGTCTTAGCCACAGCAATCGGACATGAAGGAAAAATAAAAAGGATCCAAATTGGAAAGAAGGAAGTGAAACTGTCATTATTTGCAGATGACATGATATTATTGTACATAGAAAACCCTAAAGACTCCATCAAAAACTACTAGATTTAATCAATAAATTTGGCATTTAATAAATCATTGGCATTTTTATACACCAATAATGAACACACAGAAAGAGAAACTAAAAAAAAATCCCATTTACCATTGCAACAAAAAAATTAAGGTACCTAGGAATAAACTTAACCAAAGTAAAGGACCTGTTCACAGAAAACTACAGAACATTGAAAAAAGAAATAGAAGAAGATATAAAAAGGTGGAAGCATATAGTTTGTTTATGGATTGGAAGAATTAACATCATTAAAATGTCCATAGTACCCAAAGCAATCTATAGATTCAGTGCAATATCAAAGACATATTTCACAGAAGTAGAACAAATATTCCAAGTTTATATGGAAGCAAAAATGACCCCAAATAGCCAAAGCAATCTTGAAAAAGAAGAACAAAGTAGGAGGAATCATAATACCGGATATCAGGTTAGACTACAAAGCCACTGTATTCAAAATTGCCTGGTAATGGCACAAGATCAGGCATATAGATCAATGGAACAGAACAGAGAACCCAGAAATCGACCGAAGACTTTATGCTGAATTAATATTTCACAATGGTGGCAAGAGCATACAATGGAATAAAGATGGCCTTTTTAATAAATGGTGTTGGGAGAACTGGACAGTTACATGCAAAAAAATGAAACTACACCATCAACTTACACCATACACAAGAATAAACTCAAAATGGATAAAAGACTTAAATGTGACCCATGAATCCATAAAAATCCTAGAAGAAAATGTAGGCAACAAAATTTCAGACATCACACACAGCAGAATTTTCACTGATACACCACCTAAGGCAACAAAAACAAAGAAAAACATGAATACAAGGGATTAAATCTAACTAAAAAGCTTCTGCACAGCAAAAGAAACAACCATCAAAATGTAAAGGGAACCACTATATTGGAGAGCATAATTGCCAACAATATGTCAGATAAGGGCTTAACTTCCAAAATTTACAGAATGCTCATATAACTCAACAAAAGGAAGACAAAGAACCCAATTAAAAAATGGGCAGAGGAGCTAAATAGATCTCTCTCCAAACAGGATATACAAATGGCCAAGAGACGTATGAAAAATTGCTCAATGTCACTAACCATCAGAGAGATGCAAATTAAAATAACTATGAGGTATCACTTCACACCTGCCAGAATGGCTGCCATCAACAAATCATCAAACAAGTGTTGGCGAGAATGTGGAGAAAAGGGGACTCTAGTACACTGCTGGTGGGAATGCAGAATGGTGCAGCCACTATGGAAAACAATATGGTATTTCCTCAAAAAATTAAAAATTGAACTATCATTTGACCCAGTGATCACACTTCTAGGAATATATTCTAAGAAGCCGGAAACACCAATCGGGAAGAATATATGTACCCCTATGTTCATAGCAGCACTATTTACAATTGCAAAGATCTGGAAATAGCCCAAGTGTTCACCAATAGATGAATGAATAAAAATGCTGTGGTACATATACAAAATGGAATACTATGAAGATGTAAGAAAGAAAGATCTCTTATCCTTTGAGACAACAGGGAGGGACCTGGAGAGTATTATGCTAAGAGAAATAAGCCAGTCAGAGAAAGACAAGTATCACATGATCTCACTCACTGTGAAATGAACAAATTAAGGTGTTGGACAAAATAGACCCAGAGACAGAAGTAGGGTACAGACTGAAAAATCTCAGAAGAGGGAGGCAGGGGGTAAGAAAAACATAAACAAAGGACTTATGCATATAAACATAACTAATGGACATAGACAACAATGCAGGGGGTGGGGAGTGGTAACAGGAGGAGCGTGTCAATGGGGGAAAAGGAGAAACATCCGTTAACAAAAAATAATTAATTAAAAATTTAAAAATGCAAAGAAATGGTTTCCATAAACTGATTTTATAATGCAACAAATGCTTCCTTTGTTATATTTTGTGGGGACCATAAAACTTGTGGACCCAATAAATAATCTGTACAACATGGATACATAAAATGCAGACATAAAATTTCAAACAGAAGAAGCATGCCCACCATTGTGAGTCCTACCTAAACATTTGACAGTCCCAATGGCGTGTGCAGAGGCTGCTCGAGGTTTGTTAGTTACCAGAGCAAGTTCTCCAAAGTACTGTCCCCGAGAACACCGAGCGATTTCTACCGCACCGTTCTCTTCCACTTCTGATTTACCCTGACAAGGTAATTAAAAGTACCAGCTTTTAGTCAGCATCTTAAAAAAGCAAAAGTTAACCTTAGTCTAAACATTAAAAAAATGTATTATGTTCCTAGCTATTATGTGGATTTTTTAGAACTAACACTTACCTTCCTTTTCATAGTAATTTTCACTTCTCCAGATTCTACAATGAAAAAAGAGTCAGCCAAATCTCCCTAATAGAATAAAACAAAAACAGAGAATGAAAATGCAAATTTAGTTGACAAAAGTACTCTTGCCTATCATAACCCTTAAGTCAATTCAACCCTGATGTACAGGTGATTTGTCTGAAAAGTGAAACCTCATAGGGAAAGGCTATTATCTCACTTTCTAAACAGAGATTACAATGGACAATTGTGCAGTAATGATTTCACTTGTAAAATTATTAAAATAATATACTCTCTACCATAGCATTTCTGAATCAAGAAAATATGGCAAATAACACTGGGGTAAGAATTCCCCCCAAACTTCAGCCTGGATGCAGCATAGATAGTAGAAAAGGCAGGACCATTCTCAGCTGTGCACCTTGTGTTATTCTAATATAATAAGCATTAGCATGGTAGCCCAAGATAAGCCACTGACTCCCAAAGAGGAAAATACACACAGACTTATTCGGAAACTGTAGATTTGGGTCCCAATGTTTTAACTGCAGTTAGGTAGGGACCAAAAAATGCCAGTTTACTGCCAATTCATCTCAACGCCTCAAAAATGTCTGAAAGAAAGTGGGGGGCAGGTTGGGGCTGAGTGAAAAAGGTGAAGATATTAAGCAAAAACAACAAACACTTTAAAAAAAGAGAAAACTGTTGTCATTTCTAACTGCATATGCATTTTTTTCTTGGTGGTGTTTTTGAATAAACTCTGCCTTGATTTCCAATGATGCCTTCTGAATCAAATAGTGTAATAAAGAATATAATAGATACCGGCTTTCCTGAGCCTCTCAAAGTGATTTTGAAGAAACTTTGGTACTTCAAAACTCTTTAGTACAATAAATACAGCATCAGATTACATCACAATATAAATATTGAGTCTGTATTTATTTATTTATTTTTTTGGTACGTGCCCCTAGCGGGAATCAAACCTGGGACTCTCTGGTCCACAGGCTGACGCTCCAACTACTGAGCCAAACCAGCCAGGGCTTGAGTCTATATTTATTTGCTATAGACATGTATGCTTATAAATGCTTAAAAGACAACTAATATCTCAAAAAATCCTTAATAAACTCCAAGTACAGCACACACATCTCCTTTCTTTTATCTTTATATCAGGTTTTCATAAGAGCTTCATGTTAAATTTTCAAGTGTTTCGAATTACAGTAGGTCTATCAACTGCTGTGTAATTTAGTCTTCAAAACATGCTCTAAGTCCATGTAAAACTGGTGAAATCTGAGTAAAGTCTATGGATTAGACCATGTCAGTTTCCTAGTTTTGATATTGTGAGATAGTGATGCAAGATGCACTGGGAGAAACTGGTTGCAAGAGACTTCCCTGTACTATTTTTGCAACTTCCTGTGAAGCTGTAATTATTTCAAAATAAAAAGCTAAAAAAATCATTTCAAAACTGCTCTATGTTTTGTTATCAATTTATATAACAGAACGTTAGCCCTATTTTCTAATGTGATTTCACTTCTTCCCAGTCCTTCACTGCTGTTATCATAAGTGTGTGTGTGTGTGTGTGTGTGTGTGTGTGTGTGTGTGTGTGTTGGGGGGAGATAGGGCAGAAATTGATTTACTTATTTGCCTTCTAAAACAATTATTCTTTCCTCAGTCACACAGACTTTGAATCTTGTTTCACATATATCCAGAGAGACAATATTTTACATAAATAGATCAATACAGTATAGTATTATGATAAAAAATTACAGAATCTTTAAAAAAATCTGTTTAAATCACTTGCTCAATAATTCATAAATTTAACTAGGAAATAAGGTGTTATCTGCATGCTTTATCTGTGAACTTCAACTGTCTTCATAAATCCTACTTCTTGGTAGTTCTATTCTAACCAAGATATGTATTACTACTAGCTCCAAATGGGATATTAGAAAAGATTTGTGGTTAAATAGCATGTTGGCCCTCCTTTAGTGGCTAGAAGCCAACACAGTAAACGGTCCAATGTGTTCCCTTTTTAGTTAATTTTATCAGGGAGCAGCCTCAGGAGGTGTCATCATGAACTGATCGTACAAAATTCTACTTTCTTCCAAAATGCCTTTAGTCCTTATTCATCTCACGGAACACTCACTTATTTTTTTCCTCTTATAAGTGGCATCTTATTCTTTATATATATGTTGTATAAAAATATAAAATTATGCAGAAATCCATTTGATGATTTAATATATATTCATTAGGAGTTAATTATCTAACTAAAAATATTCAAATAGCCTAATGGCTATAAATTAAACCATTTTTAACAGGTCATTTGGTAAAAGTTATATTCATCTAATCCATCACTATATTCTAATTATAGACATGAAAAATTCATCAAGATTTACTATGTGTAAAAAACTTTTGGAATATAACCCTAAACTAAATCACATAAAAAGGATTATACCTGAGCAATGATTTGTTCTCCATCGTTGTATACTTTGGTGCCTATCACATCTACCACTTTCAGGCGTTCAGAAGTCTACAAAGCAAAAAAAAAAAAAAAAAAAAAAAAAAAGACAATTAAACAGATTAATTGGGTAATCTTACCTATTTCATAGGTTTAAAAATCGGTAGCCTTTAAACTAAATAAACTGAGCAGTGTGTGGTGTGGATTTGTATGTGTTATATTAACAGCCAACATTTTAAAATAAATTTCTCACAAAAATTTGAATTTCCAGCTTCTCTTTAAAAATCATAAGAGTCAGCAACACTCAGCCCCTATTTCCACATGGCAACAATAAACTATGGTGGAATAGCAGCTGTTTCTTTAGATGGAGCATATGTTCTCCAGTTTACCAAAATCCCATCCTGGCTTGGTTTTTCTTTTTTATATTACTTGCCTAGCTCTGAAGGCATTTGGATTTCTAACCTCTGATCTATTTTTATTTAAAGAGATATGCTGCCAGAGAAGACCAGCTACCTAATATGCTTTCTGTAACGTGGCCAAAATTTCTGCTAGGCATATACTGACAATACAATTTCAGTAGATGAGTCAGTACTAACCCCAAAGATTTTGGCTGAGATGCTGGAAGGATGGTGTTGGCAGCCACTAAGATGGGGAAGAGAGACGGAGTAGATTTAGGACGTGAGATTTGAGATTTCTGTTAGGTGTCTGAGAGGAAATGTTAAATATGCAGTTAGATTAATAAGTCTGGCATTCTAGGGAAGGACCTTGTCTGATGATGTCAATTTTATTTATTTATTATTTTTAAAATCCTCACCCGAGGACATTTTTACATTTTTTGTTCGGATAAAGTGGGAGGGAGCGAGAGAGAGCGAGAGAAACATAGACGTGAAAGGGACACAATGAGTGGCTGCCAACCGAATGACCCAACCAGGGCTGGGGACAAACTGCAACTGAAGTACACGCCCTTAGCGGAACCGAACCTGGGTCTCTCTGGAGCATAGGCGCTCCAACTGCTGAGCCTAACTGCCCAGGGCTGATGATGTCAATTTTAAAAGGCATCAACATGTTTAAAGCCAAGGGATTTGACAAGTTGAAGTGAGTAAGAGGAGCCTAAAAGAAAAATAGCAAAGATGACTGAGGAGATGCCAGTGAAGACATAAGGATATTTTTCTTTTTTAAATTTTAACTGGAAGGATGGATTTATTTATGTATGTATGTATGTATGTATGTATGTATGTATGTATGTTTCTTTATTGATTTGAGGGAGTGAGGAAGGGAGAGGGAGAGAACGATAGAAATATTGATGACAGAGAACATTAACTGGCCGCCTCCTGCATGCCCCCTACTGGGGATTTAACCCACAATCTGGGCATATGCCTTGAATGGGAATCGAACCAGCGACGTATTGGTGTGTGGGTCAATGCTCAACTACTGAGCCACACCGGACAAGTTGGAAGGATTTATTTTTTTTGATGAGAGGGAGAATTTTGTTCCATTAATTTTTGTTTTTTTCCCCTGGTATATTTATAATAGAAGCAATATTTGTTATATCGAGTTAATATCGACATTCCATATTTAGAAAACCTCTCCCTGTAAAGGTGTAACTAGTGGCTACTGCTTACATATACATAATTATTTTAAGTCTACTTTTAGAACGGAACCACATACAACTCTGCTATAGATGCTCGCAGGAATCTATTATAAACAATACAACAAATGCAGTTACAGGTAGTAAAAGAAACACCATGCTTTATAAACATAATTTAATCTTTCAAATGAAAATATGGATAGATTTTTATTCAAAGAAACCTTTGTATAGAAACAAATATTCCCAACAGAAGCTTTTAAAGCAAAATAAAAGCATAAACATATACTTACTTCCAAAGATTTAAGGAATGGCAGTGACTCGATAAAACTTTCATACATTTTTCTCTTTTTGGCATTATTTTTTACAATTATTCTCCTGAAGGTTACCCTGTCCTAAAGGCAGAATATCAAATACAGAGACAGTTAGAAAGGTAGATTTTCTGAGGAAAAAAAGTTTTTAGAGATAGTTCCATTCTATTTCCTATTAAAAAAATATGATTTTTGGAATAAAAGATTAATATTATTACACTTTTGATATTACTTAAGATGTTTATTTCTTCAAGCAAAAAATATAGAACCATATAAAATATTTTTTTCGTTTTTTAAAGAATCAGTTTATTTTATTCAGAACAGCAGTTTATTTTATTCAGAACAGATCTACCACCATGTAATTACACTAAATCCATAAGGTGGCACTGTTGCACCATTTTAAAAACTATGTACTAGCATTGTGTTTTTCCCATGTCAGCTTTGAGATATAATTGACCTAAGTTTAAAGTATACAAAGTATTAATTTGTTACACTTATACACTGAAATGACTACCACAGTAGTTAGTTAAAAAGCCTTTAGCATCTTACATAATTACCATTTCTCCTTTGCAATGAGAACATTTAATATTTACTTTTAGTTCCTGGCCGGTGTGGCTCTATGGTTGAGCATCAACTCATGCACCAGGAGGTAGCTGGTTCCATTCCTGGTCTGATTCCCCATCAGGGCACATGCCCGGGTTGTGGGCCAGGTCTCCAGTGAGGGGCATGCAGGAGGCAACCAGTCAATGTTCTCTCTCATCAATGTCTCTATCTCTCTCCCCCTTCCTTCCTCTCTAAAATCAATAAAGAAAAAATATTAAAAAAAAATTTTTAGCAACTTAAAAATTTTTTTTTCTTCTTTATTGATTTGAAAGAAAGAGGAAGGGAGTGAGAGAACACTGACTGGCTGCCTCCTGCATCCCCCATACTGGGGATTTGGCTCACAACCTAGGCATGTGCCCTAACTGGGAATTGAACCGGCGACCTCTTGGCGCATAGGTCGACACTCACGGCATGCAACTTTCAAATATAATTTTTATTATTGTTAACGATAATCATCATGCTGTATATTCAATTCCAGAATTTATACATCTTATAACTGGAAGTTTGTTCCCTGTGATCAATATCTCCCCATTTCTCCCACCATCAGCCCTGAACCATCGCTGTACTCAGTTTCTGTAAGTTTGGACTAGCACTCAGTTCTTTTTTTCCCCTTTACTGGTGTTTTAGAGAGAGGAAGGGAGAGGGAGAGAGAGACAGAAACACAGATGAAAGAACATCGACTGGCCACCTCCTGCATGCTCCCCCAGAACCTGGGCATGTGTCCTGACCGGGAATTGAACCAGCGACCTCTTGGTGCATGGGCTGATGCTTAACCACGGAGCCACACTAGTCAGACTAGCACTCGGTTCTTTTACAGTGGATAATACTCGAGTGTTACAAAATCAATTCAAGAAAGCATGGCCAGCATTTTAAAAATTAAGATATGGTTGACATATAACATTAATTTCAGGTGTAAAAAACAATGATTTAATATTTGTATATATTGCGAAATGATGACCACAATAAGTTTAGTTAACACCTGTCACTTAACATACTTTGAAAAACGTTTTGTGATGAGAACTTTTTTTTCCTGAATTTTTTTATTTTCATAGTTTTTTGACATTTTTTGTTTTAGTTACTTTTATTTATCTTTTTATTAATTAATTTTTGTTACAGATGTTTCTCCTTTTTTCCCCACTGATTCTCCCCTCCTCTTCCCTCCCCACGCTGTCCCCAGCTTTGTTGTCCATGTCCATTGTTCATGCATACATGCATATAAGTTCTGTGGTTTATCTCTCCCCCACCACCCCCTCTTCTGGGGATTGTCAGTCTGTACCCCACTTCAACGTCTCTGGGACTACCCCATTCCTCAGACTGTTATGTTCATTATATTCCACAAATAAGTAAGACCATATGATACTTGTCTTTCTCTGTTTGGCTTGTTTCACTTAGGATGATACTTTCCAGGTCCCTCCATGTTGTCTCAAAGGATAAGAGATCTTTCTTTCTTACAGCTGCGTAGTACTCCATTGTGTATATGTATCACAGCTTTTTTATCCATTTGTCCACTGATGGACACTTGGGGTATTTCCAGATCTTAGCTATTGTAAATAGTGCTGCTACAAACATGGGGGTACATATAGTCTTTCTGATTGGTATATTCCTAAAAGTGGGATGTGATGAGAACTTTTAAAATCTACTCTTGTAGCAACTTTCTTCTGTTTTAATTTTGATTTTTTAAAAGTGCAAGCCATTTTTAAAATTTTAATTACACTTAACATATATTAGTTTCAGGTGTACATCCCAATGATTAGACATTACATAATTTACTAAGTGATCATCCGAGTAAATCTTGTACCCATCTAACATCATACATGGTTACTAGAATATTACTGACTATATTCCCTAGCTGTACTTTACATCTCAATGACTATTCTTTAACAACCAATTTTCTTAATCCCTTTGCCTTTTTCACCCACCCTTCCAATCCCCCACCCATCTGGCCACTGTCAAAATAGTCTCTATCTATGAGTCTGTTTCTGTTTTGCTTGTTTGCTTATTTTGTTTTTTAGATGCAATTGTTGATAGATATATATTGTCATTTTATTGTTCATCTATTTTTTAAACATTAAAAAAAAATCTTAATTGATTTTTTTTTAGAGAGAGAGGAAGGGAGAGGAAGAGGGAGAAACACGATGTGAGAGCATAACATTGATCTGCTGCCTCCTGCATGCACCCTACAGGGGATCAAGCCCACCATACAGGCATGTGCCTTGACCGGAAATTGAACCAGGAACCTTTTGGTACACAGGAAATGCCCAACCAACTGAACCACATTGGCCAGGGCTATTCATACTTTTATCTTTTTTTCCTTCTTCTTCTTGAAGAAGACCCTTTAACATTTCATATAATACTGATTTGGTGGTGATGAACTTCAATTTCTTGTCTGAGAAGCTCTTTATATATTCTTCGATTCTGAATGTTAACTTTGCTGGATAATCTTGGCTGTAGGTCTGTTTTTCATTACTTTGAATATTTCTTGTCAATCCCTTCTGGCCTGACAGCTTTTCTCTTGCTTCTCTTAAAATTCTCTGTCTTTAACCTTTTGCATTTTAATTATGATGTGTCTTTGTGTGGGACTCTTTGGGTTCATCTTGTTTGAAACTCTCTGCACTTTCTGGACTTGTATGTCTATTTTCTTCACCAAGTTAGGGAAGTTTTATGACATTATTTTTCACATAGGTTTTCAATTCCTTGCGCTCTTTCCTCTTCTTCTGGCCTTCTACATGATGCAAATGTTGATATGCTTGAAGTTGTCCCAGGGGCTCTTTACACCATCCTTATGTTTTTTGGATTCTTTTTGGTGTTCTGATTGGATGTTTTTTGCCTCCTTATATTCGAAATCACTGATCTGATTCTCAGCTTCATCTAGTCTACTGTTGATTACCTGTAAATTATTCATTTTGGTTAGGGTATCCTTCATTTCTGATTGGTTCTATTTTATAGTTTCCATGTCCTTTTTTATGCTGATCAAGTTCTCACTAAGTTCACTGAGCATCTTTAAAACCAGTAGTTTGAACTCTGCATCTAGTAGATTTTTGTCTCCATTTTGTTTAGATCTTTCTCAGGAGTTTTGTTCTCTTCTTTCACTTGGGACATGTTTCTTTGTAACCTTTTGGCAGCTTCCTTGTGTTTGTTTCTATGAATTAGGTAGAGCTGCTATGTCTACCAGGCTTGGTAGAGTGGCACCTAATATAGTAAGTGTCCCAGGCTGATCAGCTGCAAAAGACTGGCTGCTACCAAGGACCACCATCAAGGGTCACCTGTGCAGAAGCCTATCCCATGGAACAGGACTTACTTCAGTGGGCCTCTGGTTCCTGCTGAGTCTGCCCCTTTAATGTGTTGCTTTGTGGAGATGATTGGGTGGTGGTCTGAAGTGTCTACCAGGTACACTGGCTCTAAGCCTCCCATGAAGAGCAGGTCAAGGTAGCTGCTGCCTATGTTCTGCCCTGGAGCCACTTGGCATGAGCTACAAGATGACCTGCAGATGGTTGCTACTTATGCTGGCCTTGGAGGTGTCTAGGCAAGGCCAAGATGCAAACCAAAGATGCCTGCTATTACTGCCTGGCCTGAGGCCACTTATCATGAGGTATAGGGCATGCTAAAGCCAGATGCTGTTTGAGAGATGTCTGAAAAGTCTGAAGCATGAGCCAAGATATGCCATTTGTATGGAAAAGCCACTGGAAACAGCTTGGGTGGGCCCACAGGTTGGGTAGGGCAGGATCTCCGGGAATCAGCAGCACAGGTAAAACAGGGATAGCAAAGTTGATGGAGTCTCAGATATGGTGCCAAACTGTTGGCTTTGTTAGGAGAGGGTTCAGAAAAGGAACAGTGGCTTCTGCCAGCACTTTTGTATGGCAGAAAGCTGCTCCCCCATGATGCCAGATAAATCAGTTCCTCCCTATTATGTTTCTGGTGCCTTTCAAGCTGCTTCCCCAGTGCTGGAGCTCAGAAGTGAGTCTGAGTAAGTCCTTGCATAGAACCTTTAAGATGAACTGTGTGAGACTTCTGTGGTCCTCTGTCTCACTCAGCCACAATCCCCACTGGTTTATACAGCAGAAGTTATGGGGACTTCTCTTCTTACCATTGGAACCCTGGGCCGGAGGGCCTATGTGAGGCTGGGACCCCTTGCTTCTCAGGGAGGACCTCCACAGGTGAGATATCCCTCCTGATTTTTATCTGCCACACATGCGTGTGGGACTGGACAGTTCTGAATCTCCACCTGTCCTACCAGTCTCTAAGTGGCTTCTTTAAATCCCTAGCTGTCGGACTTACACTCAGCTAGATTTCAGGCAGTTCTGAGTGATGGTTCTCTAGTTTAGTTGTAATCTTTTTTTTTTTAAGCTTCACCTGAGGACATTTTTCCATTTTTTGTTCAGACAGAGTGGGAGGGAGAGAGAGGAAAAGAAAGAGAGAGAGAAACATCGACGTGAAAGGGACACACTGAGTGGCTGCCACCCACACAACCCAACCAGGGCCGG